ATTTGCAACTGATTGGAGGAGCGCAGGCATGGATGAACCACCTGGCGGCCACCCACAAGTGCACCATCGCCGAACTCCACACGCACATCACGTGGAAGGAGTTCGAGCAGCTATGGTTCACACGGTTCATGGTCCGCAACGTCGTGAAGGCGGCCATGAATGAGGTGTACACATGCTCTCAGGGGAACATGCCAACTTGAGACTGGACAACGAAGTGGCAAAAGATAGTGACCACGCCAGGATTCGATTTGAGTTTTCCAAATCAACGATCTAAGTTCTTCTCGCGATCGTGCGCGGGATTGCGGTCAGCACTCGGTAACGAGTACGACTATACCACATTCCAAACTGCTCTGGGAGAATTTATTCTCTCAGAACAGTTTGGAGCTCTGGGAGAATTTATTCTCTCAGAACTGCTCTGGGAGAATAACCTGTCAAACTGCTCTACGACTATACCAATTGCGGTCAGCACTCGGTAACGAGTACGACTGGATCAGCCAAACTGCTCTGGGAGAATTAATTCTCTCAGAACAGTTTGGAGCTCAGTTGAAGAGTCGTTGGACTCTCACCGAGCTCCCCAGTACAGCAGAAGACGAAAGCAAATGCAGGAAGATACCAGCAGATCAGGCTTGCCGTATCCAGCAGCGCAGCAGTTCGGTAAGACCATCAAATGGTCTTGCCAAATCACGTTAGAATCGCCTGTTGGAATGTGAGAGGCCTTAGCGATACTTGTAACAGACATAAGACCAGCAGTATAGCAGCATGGTGCCGCACACAAAAGGTGCACATACAGTGCGTTCAAGAATCTAAGCTGGACCCAAATAAAATTAATCGAGCTCAGGACTGGTGGAGGGGCCCCCAGTTTTGGGCCCCCGCAGATGGCACTAAAGGGGGCAGCGGGATACTTTTCAGCAAAGACTTTGATGTAGAGATCATAGACAATTTCGCGGACCCCCAGGGGAGATTCGTCTGGGTATAATTTGATGTGGATGAAGAAGATTGGGCAGTCATGTAGACGATGTCGTTGTAGGCGCCCCTCTGTTTTTTTTTAGAATCTGCCCGCCTATATCCCGGATACAGAGAATCTCATCCTAGCAGCAGACCGGAACACAGCGATGCTACCTGGCCTAGAATCTCCTGAGGTAACACCTACGAGAAGGGACACCAACCTACTTGTAGAATTCGCAGCGACACACAGATTTTCAGATATCTTCAGAGAAATGAACCCAGGCACACCAGGTTACACCTGGTATGGCCCGCAACCGGTCAGCCATCTCTTAGATCCAAGAAGACGTCTTAGATTATATCCTGGGCAGAGGATCTATCTACGAAAGAAGCGTTAGTGTGGGCATACATGTATCCTACCTATCTGATCACTACCCAATACTGTTAGAAGTATTTGGTACCGAACGGGTAGAAAAACATCGAGGCTCCTTCAGGCTCAACGAGACGCACCTTCAAGACCCGGGAATTATAAAGTGGAGAGACAACTGCGCCTGTGACCGCTGCACAGTTCAGAATTCGCAGAAATAACAGTCCACTGCAAGATTGGGCCGTGAGCAGTTCGAAACAGCAAAAAAAACAGTGAACTGCGCGGTCCCATTCTTTTTGTTTTATTTTTTTCCCTTTTTGGCTTCTGGCGGGAATGGGTTCGGGCTCGAAAAAGATCCCACTTCGTCAGTACGTGCCCCGTTAGCACCCACCCCATTCTCTCTCTCTCTCTCTCTCTCACACACACACACACACACACACACACACACACACACACACACACACACACACACACACAAAA